ACAAGACAGTTTCCCCCAAACACACCAGCTCTACAGCTAGGCAGAAGTGAAAGCCCTAACTGAGGGGTGGTTAATTCTAGCTGCCAAAGTGACAAGATCACCTAGGAGACCAGACTCTGGGCTTGCCTGTGAGGGATTATCTAAATTGGGTTAATTGAGGTGGGAAGAAACACCCTGAGTAGGCAGCACCAACCCACAGCCTGGCGTTTCAGACTGCAGGAAAAGGAGGAAGCCAGCTACTTTCTGACGGCAGATATAATGTGACCAGTCGCATAAGCCGCTGCTCCCATAGTGTCCCCACCATAGCAGATTGTATCCCTTCAAACTGTGAGCCAAAACCCACCCCGCTTTAAGTTGCTGTTTATCCAGAATTCTGTCATAGCAACAAGAAAACAGTGACAGCACAATGGGCAACCTGTGGCCGTCACCTGCACAGGTACTGACACTGACTGGTACTAGGGGTGCAGAGGCATGCCCAAGGTTACACCCAACTAGTAAACAACAGCAGACACAGACATCCTGGGGATGTCTCCAGCCCCCAGCACTCTGTTCAGTGTTGTGTCGGCCCTAAGCACAGGCCCAGACGCTGAGCTAGCGCACATGGGACTCCTACCTTATCAAGGGGAGCTGGGTTGTGGCCCAAAAGACACAGACACTGTAGCACAGGTCAAGAAAGCCAAGCACTTTCCAAACTGCCCAGGTGGTCTGTGGATGATGCCTGGCCTGGGCATCCTGGAGCTTCCTCAGCCCAAGTGCACATGCAGTAGCTCTGTCCATTGTCAGCTGCTGCCAGGGAGGTGCCTTTGGCCGAGTAAGGGTTCACTAAGGGCTGCAGAGGTCCCTCACTAGGCTAAAACTGAGGAAGCTGGCTTTTCCCCTCTGTAAAGGCCCAGGCTTCACAGGGAAGCAGAAGCCCTGTCGGCAGCCCACCCCCCCTTCCTGGTGCAGTTTCAAGGTCCTGCTTCCTGAAAGTGTGACCCCAAAGAAGTCACCAAGGATCTCACTCGGAGCTAAGCCCTACTGAAGTTCCCCAAAGACAACCCTCTTATCAGCCATTTCCTGAGTGTTCACTATGGGCCAAGGTACATAAACGGGCGGGGTAGTCCCTGCCCAGGAGGCTGTCTATATGAGTCCCTGTCTGTTGGCCTCAAACCAGTTGGAAGAAGAACCTAGGAGCACCCGACACTTAGAAATGACTAGTGTCTTGGGACACCCCATGAGTGCATATTGGAGAGTCATAGAAGGCCGAGGAGGAAAGCAAACTGAGAAATGTCCCTGGTGGAGCTGGAATGAGCTAACCAGATGCAGACCCTAACTACACTCAGCCATTCAGCATCTGCCCTGCGCTTTTTCCCATACAAGTGTTTGTGGGGTCCTCACACCACCCCAAGAAGCCATAACCACCACTATCATCACTTTCCTGGTTCAGAAATTGAGGCTCAGAAACAGTTTCAGAGCTGGGACGTGGAGCCCGAGGGTGCAGTGCTGAGCCACATGTCATGATATGTGCTCGGCTTGATCAGGCAGAATGGGGGTACAGACCAGGAGGCAGGACGAGCCTGGCGGAGGGCACTGCTCAGCCCATTGGACTGACCTTGGGCCTTGTATGTGTGTGCTGCCTGAAAGCCAAGTAATGGCTGGCTGACAGCAGGGCCCGGAAGAGATGCCCAGAGAGGACTTCTCTCCGTTCCCATGTGGACAGGCCCGAGAGCTAGCCTCTGTTTGTCTCTGCTCTTCTCAGCTGCTTCTGTGCATCAGCCTACGTGTGTCAGCTGCTAACAGGAAGCTCACTGTGGTGCTGGGGGAGTCCCAGGAGTGAGTCAGGAGTAAGTCAACTGGACAGACCCCAGCTGGACCCTGAGGGCACTGGCTTCAGGGAGGCTCCTCTCAGCAGGAGAGCATCAGCAGCTGAGGGGAGAGGAAGGACATATCTAGACCACTGGGCCCTGTTTACCTCTGGGCTTCCCTTTCAGGCTTCTCAGACTCATGCTGGCCCTTTCCTGTGATTAAACAGGTCACCTCCCCAACCCCATCCTGTTCTACAGAGGGGTCCAGGCCAAGCAGCCTGGGTTCTCCACATCTATACCCCTTCCGCCAGCTGCCTCTTGCAGAGCCAAATCCCGGCTGTTTGTTGCTAGTGATTATATCATGGCTACAACCCAGCTTCCCACAGGGCAAAGGAAGTGGGCATAATGGTTTAGAGAAGAGGCTAAGGCTAAAGTCTCGATGCAGGAGAGCCTGCAGGCTCCAGACATTTTAAATCCAAAGCAGTGATCATGACCTAGGCCACTGGGTAAGGCGGCGGTGTCTTGGGACACCCCCTTCCCCAGTGAATGAAGATCAGACCCTACTTGGCCCTCAGATGAAAGAATTGGGTCCCCAAGGTGAAGGAAGTTGCCAGTCAGTGGGAACTTCCTCTTCTAAACTAAGGGGATGCCCCTGCATGTCAGACTTTAGCCCCAGGGAACCAAAAGCCATTCCTTGTGGGAAACTTGTGCCCAAATGGTTGACCTCTCACCCTACCTTCTCGGGGCTGAACAGGGAATCCTGGGTACTCTTCCTATCCACTCTGATCAGATGCCCACTGCTGGTTGGCACAGGCTCCCCAACTCAGCCCAGACCTCACTTCTTCACTCAATAGCCTTCATCTTCCTGTGACTGCCACTCACTCAGTGTAACCACTTTCATGAGCCCTAGCTGGGCCCCATGGCAGGGCAGGGCAGGGCAGGGCTATACCCCCGCGCCCTGCTGCATCACCCTTGACCCGCTGTCTTTTCTAGCCTGTAGCCTCCTTCCACCGAAAGTCCCTAGCCTTGTTAGGTCATCTGCCCCTGTATGTCTGGCGCACGCGGTGTCAAGCTTTACATCCCTCCACTGCTCTCTCTAACCTTCGGTAGCTCTTCTCACTCTGTGATACAAGCGCAAGGTTTCCTTATTGGCATTCAGAGCCTTCTGGGGTTCATCCCCCCACGATCTCTGCATTGCCCACCCTAAAAGCCCAGCTGCAGCTAGACCAGTGTTTCTTGCCCAGTGTATCATTTGGGGGTCAAATGACCCTTTCACAGGAGTCACCTAAGGCCATCGGAAAACACAAGATATTTACACTACAACTCATAACAGTAGCAAAATTACAGATATGAAGTGGCAATGAAAGCCATGTCATGGTTGGGGGTCACCACAACATGAGGAGCTGTATTAAAGGGTCGCAGTGTTAAGAAGGGTGAGAATCACTGAGCTGGACCAGCAACCCAGCCATTTCCCCAGAGCTCGCTCAACAGGTTGGCCTTGCCTTTGAGCATCTTCCTCTGCCAGAACACTCTGCCCGAACTTCCCAGTCCTGAAGGCCCCAAAGGCCCTTCTCATCCTTTCTTTGACTATCTTGTGTCTCATTCCCTGATCCAAGTTCCTTCCCAGATGCTGAGAAACCCAAGGTGAGGGCCCAGTGTCGTGCTATTGCTTGGCATTCAAGGCACAGAATGGGAGTGGTGGTGGGAGGGGTCTCTTTCCACCAGTGTGGCTCCCTCCTCACGGCAGCAAATGCTCAGCTAGTGCCACCGAAATGCTGACCCTCAAGGAGCAGGGAGTGTCGGACCAAGCTTAATCAGGACAGAGGAGTGCAGGCAGAAAGTCCTGCCCATGTCTCATCCCCATCCCTAACACTGGCTCTGGCTCTCCAGAGTCTCCTCACAGATTATAACACACACACACACACACACACACACACACACACACACAGCACCTTCCATGCCTCCTGTGCCCATTCTGCTCCCACAGACCATTTGCTCATCCTACCCCAAACTGAGCCTACAGCCACTAGAGCTTCACAGCGCCCTGGGACTTGCCTTGGACTGATACTGGCTGTAAGAGAGGCTCTCCAGGCAGGGAATGGGTGAGAGTCTCAGAGCGGCTCAGGATGAGGGCAATGCTAGCCAGGTCCCTTCGAGAACACACATCTACATCCTCAGCTCTGTTGGGTATGCAGTATGGACTCTTTTGGGGGTCTTTAAATTCAACACTCATCAACCCTATGCAATGAAATGAACTCAGGCGCTCTTTAGTTTCAGCCCTTCAAACCAAGATGAACCCCCAAAATAAGTAGGTTTATTTCCCAGAAGACAGGCAACCTACCACCTGCCCACTGACATCACAGGAGCCTCTCAGTGAGGTTTCTGGGCCCCCAGTGTCTTGTCAGGCTTTGTGCACACGGTTTCATTTAGTTCTTTGCTACTACTGTTAAGTCGTTTCCCCCAAAGTCACAGATGAGGAAACTAAAGTTTGAAGGGGGAGTGGAATTTTAGTTGGCTGAGTCCCAAATCCTTGACACCGCCAGGACCCAGGGACCCCCACTACTATCAGGGAGCCACTTCAGCACAGGTACCTAATCCTGGGCACAGCAGGGAGCTCCAGGGCCTGGCTAGATTCTAAGCAGGTTTTGTAGGGTTTCTCCTTTTACTTTCCATTCACCCCAAAAGTGCTATTCCTCCACCAGCTCACCTGGAAAAGCCTGGCCGTTTCCACTGCGAGTCCGGCTCAGTGGAGCGCTCACAAGTTAGAAGAAAGGAAAGAATGTTAATTGCTCTACTTTGGAGTCCTGTCGTGGGACTCAGTAACTCAAGGTGACATATCAAGTCATTTTTCTCAGTGGCATTTTGCAGCTGAGGTCTAGCTACGCAATCTGAATGCGGGTGGCCTCCCGCACCGCAGTGCCTGTCACCTGCTAGCCCTTACCTTCAGGGGCTTTGGTGAGAAAGGGCACTCCGGGAGCACCGGCTCACTTCAATCAACTTCCTCCTTCTGGAACCCGAGTAGCTCAGGGTTGGGGGCAGGGACCGGCCTAGGGCCACAGGGCTGGTTGTGGCGCAGCTAGAACTAGGGAGTTCGGGACTCAGAGACGAATGATCTTTCTCAGCCACTAACTGCTCCGGTCTGTTGCCAAGCCAGCCGCGAAGGCTGCAGAAGTTTGCTTCCAGTTGTCCCGCCCCACTCCAGGCCCCTCTTACCTGCTGTCTCTATTCTGGCTATACGCTTTAAGTCCGGCTTCTTGAACTGGCGCCTCAGTCAGCGTCTGACTGCGCAGCTTGGTTCAATCCTTCCACTCTTCCCCGCCACCCCCTCCCAGAGTCGGTCCACAAGCTCAACGGCCTTGTGAGGCCACGCCACGCCCCCGACACCACGCCCTCGACACGCCCCCTATACTGCTCCTTTGGGGCCTGCGGGAGGTAGCACCAAGCTCCGCCTACCATGGCCTCCTGGTCCAATCAAACGATCACATCCTGGGCTGCCCTTTGCCAACCCTCAGCTCCGCCTCCAGCCCTGCAGTTTGTCTGCAAGCAGCGCTCTTTCCTGTCCACTAATAGCCTGGAGGTGAGGCTATGCGCGGTTTGCTCCGCCTGCTTTGGGCCTCCAGAGGATGAAGCCTGCCCTGGAACCCAAGTCTCTGCATTGTTTTCTGTGCCCTTCCAGCCTCTAACAGCCCTGCATAATGGTCCTTTCCCCTGCAGTCTCCCTCATCCTTCCTAGGTCCCTCCTAAGCCGCTGGCGGTCCTCCTAAACCCTTAGCTCAAGCCCTTTCTCCAGCGGTCTACCCCAGGGCCTCCAACAGGGAGGCCACGCCCATTTCTGCCCCTCCCCAAAGGTTCTCTGCTTCGCCCTGATCTTGTTCCCCCTGGCAACCCCTGCTCAGGGCTGCAAGCCTCGGGCCCCCACGCTGGCATTCTAGGACCTGGCTTATCCTGTCGCAACCCGGGAATGGCGTGGGAGCGTTCACGTTCCAAGACTAGGACTCCATGTGGAGACTGCCAGGACCCAAGCACTTTTTGAAAATACTAACAGCTACCAATGTTTGAACCCTTGCTGATTAGCCAAGAGCTGTGATGGACTATTTTCCTTCAGCCCATTTTACAGATGAACAGCCCAAGATTTAGAAAGATGAAGTCATGAGCTAGAGTCTAACAGCGTAGTCGCCCTAGCTTGCCTGGATTTTGGCCCTTGAAGAAGTGGCCCAGGCCAGCCAGCCATGGCACAGCAGGTCGATGAGGGCGTAGCAGGAGAGGGTTGAAGGCCCGAGTCCTCCATGGCTGTCTTCTCCCTTTAGAAAGTGGGCTGCAAAGATCTCCAGAAGTCTGCACACCCTACCTTGCATGTCCAGACTGTGGACGAGCCTCAGGCATGTTGTCCAGACCCCTTAACCTGTGCGCTGGCAAAGCTTGCAGCTGCAGGCATTTGCATCTGAGAGTAGCCGCTGTGGAGGGTATGAAGGAGCCTGCTTCGCAGGAACCCAACGCATAGGGAATGCTGGATGGCCAGGGGTTGGCAAAAGCTCTGTCCTCACCCCCAGAAGCGCCACCACTGCCTGGGAACTTGTTAGGAGTGTGTTTGGAGTTTGAGACATCCCAGAACAGAGTGAGAGACTGCAGTGGTTTGTTTTTTACAAGGTTTCCAGATGATTCTGAGTTAGCTTTGAGTTTGAGAGCCACTACTTGGAATAGATAAACACTTAGGGTCTAAGACTCACAGGACCGAAGTAAACCTGGCAGCTGTGCAACCCAGGGCAAAATAAAGTACTTAGAATTTGCCTGTAAGAACTAGAGACTAACATGCTAGGTGGTGGTGGTGGTACACACGTTTAATCCCAGCACTTGGGAGGCAGAGTCCGGACTAACAGCCAGGTATGATGGCTCACACCTATCCCAGTACTCAGGGGGTAGAGTCAGCAGGATCAGGAGTTTGGGACCAGCCTTAGCCACACAGCAAGTTTGAGGTACTACATGGGCTGCATGAAATCTTATCTAGAAACAAAAAAGAAACAAAAGATAAGTAACAAAATTATTAATGCTAATTCTGAGGGTAGCCCTTTGGAAATAAAATTTTATTTACTTTTGACTTGGTTTTTTGAGACAGGGCTTGTGCAGCTCAGGCTGTCCTCAAATTCTGCTCCGCCTCCAGCTTCCTGAGTGCTGTGCTTAAAGATATGAGACACTGCTCCTGACTTGGAGATGAAAAGAGATGGCGTTCACTGAGATGTTGACTGAGGTTTCTGTCCAGTCCAGTCCCACAGCCGTTCAGTCCCAAAGAAACTCAGAGGCCTACATTAATCATAAACTGGTTGGCCTATTACTTCAGGCTTCTTATAACTTTTATAACTTATATTAGCCCATAATTCTTGTCTGTGTTAGCCATGTGGCTTGGTACAGCAAGGCATTCTCATCTTTCTTCCTCTGCATCTGGGTGGCGACTGCAGACCGACTCTTCCCTCTTCCTAGAATTATCCTATTCTCATTGTCCTGCCTCTACTTTCTGCCTGGCTACTGGCCAATCAGCATTTTATTAAACAGGTACAAGAAACAAATCTTTACAGGGTAAAACCATTGTCAGAAACCTCTGTCAACAAATGTCACCCAACATGAGGCAACTGCATCCACATAAAACCTGAGAGAGTTTGGGAAGGAATTCTAGACACAAAAAGAACAGAGTTAAGCATGGCCTCGTGGTAGCATTTTCTTGGGTGTGCTCTATTTGCTAGAGGAAAGCACATTTCATTTAAGAGAGATTTCCTGGCTCAGCTTTAGCTGCAAAAACCTTGCAGCTCTTTTAAGAGGTCCCACCATGAAACACTTAATTGGTGTTGATGAATAGCCAACTGCATGCTTTTTGGTGGTGGCAGGCACCTTGAAACTTCATAAAGTTGTGACAATAAACATGGTCCCAGCCAGTACCTCTGCCATGAGGGTAGACTCTCAGAAAGCTAAGGAATAGGGTGTATCTAGTCATCAAAGCCACAGCTTTAATCCTAGCCATGTTGCCTAGCAAATTAAAAACTCTTGTGGTCAGAAAAAGAGATGTACAGTAAAGATAGATTCAAAGACAAAAAAGTCTCTAAATGGTTTACAGTGTGTTTTAAAATATATGTAGGCTTGGGAAAGAAAAGAAAAAAGACAAAGTCCTTAAAAAAAAAAAGAAAGAGTAGTCAGGTGTGGTGGCACACACTTTTAATCCTAACACTTAGGAGGCAGAGGCAGAAGGATCTCTGTGAGTTCAAGGTGTGGTGGCACACACCTTTAATCCCAAGACTAGGGAGGCAGATCTCTGTGAGTTAAATGACAGCCTGGTCTACAGAGTGAGTTCCAGGAAACCAAAGATACACTGATAAACCCTGTCTCAAAAAACCAAAAATTAAAAAGAAAAAGAAAAATAAGAGAGTTTAAAATAAAGCCACATAAAGATAGAAAATACACAGAGAGTCTGGATACTGTTATTGTGTTGTCTATGAATTGTTTGAATGCTGAAGAAGAAGCAACAGCTGCTAAAAGACATTTGCTTATAAATGCTGCTGGATTAATCTAAGATAGGTATTTTGAAAATGCCTTGACTTAAAAATGGGAGTCAAAAGATATGCTACTTTGGGGAAGAGGTTTTGTTTTTGTTTCCACAGGAAATGAGAGGCTGTGGATTCATTCTGGGCTAAGTAAAATCAAGTTTGATCAAGGAAACCCCAAAATCTCCGGTAGAAGATGGCCAGATGATCCAACGTTTCAGAGGACTCTGTTGGAATTTCCTCTGGGTTCTACATCCAGAACAGTCAAGACTGCTAGCTGAGATGATCAAGCCTCACAGGACTTTCTAGTCAGGACTTGACTGTAATTAAAAATTTTCCTTAGGTCCCTATAAGATTATCAGCACTCCAAGTCAGAAGGAAGCAGCCTGGAACACTATGCCCACATCCCCCAAAAATGCATTATGGGTGTTTTTCTTTGTTTAGAGTGTTGGCTACAAGTCATGTGGATAATGGTAAGGAAGAAAGCTAAACAAGGAAGATTTGATTCAGAGTTCTTGTTTTGAAAAAAAGGGATGGGGCAAGTGCTGTCAGACAATGGTTTTACCCTGTAAAGATTTGGTTTTTGTACTTGTTTAATAAAATGATGATTAGTCCACTAGTCAGGCAGGAAGTATAGGTAGGGCAACCAGGCAGGAAGTAGAGGAGGGGCAATGAGAATAGGAGAATTCTGAAAAGAGGAAAGTCAGTTTGCAGTTGTCACCTAGACACAGAGGAAGCAAGATGAGAATGCCTTGCTGAAGAAAGGTACCAAGCCACATGGCTAACACAGACAAGAATTATGGGCTAATATAAGTTATAAGAGTTATAAGAAGCCTGAGGTAGTAGGCCAACCAGTTTATGATTAATGTAGACCTCTGTGTGCTTCTTTGGGGCTGAACAGTAGCAGGACCGAGTGGGAAAGAAATCTCATGCCAACACCTAGAGTTCAGCCTGGTGTGTGGACTAGCCAGGTCTGGTGGTATAAGCTGAAGTCCCAGCACTTAGGAGGCAAAGGCAGGAGCATTATGAGTTCAGAGTCATCTAGGCTGTCTCCAAAATGGGTAATGAATTAATTAAAGGATTTATGTACCTGAGTTTAGGAAACAGGCTGGAGAGATGACTCAAGGGTTATGAGTGCTTGATGCTCTTCCAGAGAACCAGAGTCCGGTTTCAGCACTTCAATTGGGAAGACCACAGCAGCATGTAACTCCAACTCCTACCCACCTAAAATCTTCTTTCTGCTTCTGAGGCCACCTTTGCATGTGCAGTATGTACACACACACACACCATGTAAATAAATAAATAAACAAACACACAAATAAATAAAAATAATCTCAGGGACCTTTCCTGAGACAACAGCCATTTATTCTATAAGATGCCAAGATCTTATCAAGTTCCCAGACACTGTGGATGCTACCAGTGCAGAGACACAATGAGAGACTAGGTATGTTACTGTGTCCTGGGCTGGGTGCTAAATCTTGACCCTGTCCAACCTTTGCCAAATGACCATAAAACACCATTCCCTCCCATCCTGCTGGGGGTTCTGCCTTGATCTCCATGATAGGATGTTTGTGATGGTGATTCACAGACTGCTGCTATGTGACAAAACTTTTACTGGGGTGACCAACACACACATCAACTCACCGCAAGCAGGGAGCTCACAACAGACCAAAGTGTGAATGCCACCAAAGTCCAACTTGGTGAAGCAATGAGTTTTATTGGGGTTACTTACTGGAATATGGGTGAGGGGGTTACTTACAGGAGCAGAAATGACTCATAGACAGCTGCGTTACCACAGCCTACCCCAGCATGAGTGAATTTAATTGAGGCTGGCTTACA